TGCAGACCACAGACCTGCAGACCACTGACCTGTAGACCACTGACCTGCAGACCACTGACCTGCACACCACTGACCTGTAGACCACTGACCTGCAGACCACTGACCTGTAGACCACTGACCTGCAGACCACTGACCTGTAGACCACTGACCTGTAGACCACAGACCACTGACCTGCAGACCACTGACCTGTAGACCACTGACCTGCAGACCACTGACCTGCAGACCACTGACCAGCAGACCACTGACCTGTAGACCACTGACCTGCAGACCACTGACCTGCAGACCATAGACCACTGACCTGTAGACCACTGACCTGTAGACCACTGACCTGTAGACCACTGACCTGCAGACCACAGACCACTGACCTGTAGACCACTGACATGCAGACCACTGACCTGCAGACCACTGACCTGTAGACCACTGACCTGTAGACCACTGACCTGCAGACCACTGACCTGCAGACCACAGACCACTGACCACTGACCTGTAGACCACTGACCTGTAGACCACTGACCTGCAGACCACTGACCTGCAGACCACAGACCACTGACCACTGACCTGCAGACCACTGACCACTGACCTGCAGACCACAGACCTGCAGACCACTGACCTGTAGACCACTGACCTGTAGACCACTGACCNAGGTTAGACACCTTCATCATAGATACCTTCAGGTTAGACACCTTCATCATAGATACCTTCAGGTTAGATACCTTCATCATGTGAGCAGCAGGAAGAAGCACAGCAGCATCTCTGTACTTAAATCTGTGATGTTTATTTCCTCAGGCTCAGACACACAAACACAAACACAAACACAAACACAAACACAAACACAAACACACACTGTGCAAAGAAAACTGAACACACAGCTGTCTGTGTGCACTGACACAACACCTGCTGCACAGCTGTGTGTCAGGAAGTCATGCTGAAGCACAGAAACAAGAAAACTAAAAAACATTTAAACTAAAGGAAGAATTCATCCCAACAGTCCAATGGAAACCAGTCCTGCTGCAGACTGGGAACCAGCAGATGATGATGATGATGATGATGATGATGATGATGATGATGATGATGATACACTTCCTGCTGCTGGTTTCTTCCATACATCCAGATGTTTCCATCAGAAGAAACTAGAACAAAGCTCCAGGTCACAAAGTTTTAAAACATAAAGAACATAAAACAGAGTTGTTTTTAAAATGTTACATGAAGTTAATAAGTCATTTAAAAAGCAACAATAACTGATCATTAATCAGCTGAGGGTCATTAAAACACTGAACCTGGTTCTTTCAGGTGAACTGAAGCTGCTGCTGTTGGTGAACAGGTGGAAACACTGCAGCAGCTCCAGATGTTACACAGCTGGACTGAAGCTCCAGATGTTACACAGCTGGACTGAAGCTCCAGATGTTACACAGCTGGACTGAAGCTCCAGATGTTACACAGCTGCAGTTGGATTATTATAATCAGGAGGTTCTCTGAAGGCCTTCACCTGCTCAGAACTCCTTCACAAATAGAAAATAAAGTGATAAAAGAGCTGGATTTAATTTGACCTGATGCATCATGGGACTGAATCCAGAACCTAAAACATCTGTTTGTTTCTCCAACATGTGGTTTTATTTTGAAACGATGAGCTAACTTTGGAACAACCCATGTGTGTTTTAACAGGCATTGTGTTTCCAGCACAGCTTCTATAAACATGGTAGAAAAGCGWGTTAAAAGCAGGAGCTGACTGGTTTTGCTGGTTCTTACTGGTGATTAATAAGAGTTTAAAGCCAGGCTGAGCAGGGACACTAAAACACAAACACAAGGAAGATATCGTCCTTTTGTCTCAACGCTCCACTGTCCTCTTCAGTCCTCGTCACTTTTACTTCTGTCCGACTGATCCTGCACACACACACACACACACACACACACACACACACACACACACACACACACACACACACACACACACACACACACACAGGAGATAAACAACAACACAAAGCAGAGACACAACAGGCTGATCCTGGACCAACTTTAACACACATGTTGATGACATTAAAGTCTAAATTCAGATTTTATTTATTAAAACTAGTTAAACTGATGAGATGAGTAAATCACTGCGTGTTGTTTGTGTTTACATGTCACACACAGCCCAGTGTTTCAGTGTTGTTGTTGTTGTTGTAGTTAGGATGACTGCAGTTTGATGTGGACTAAATGAACTCTACATGATGATGTGGTCTGTAGACCTACATTCTCATCCTGGTCCTCATCACTGTCGTCGTCACTGACCACAGGCTTGGCCTTCCCGCGGCTCGGCCTCTTCTTGCCCTTATCGTGGCCTCGGCCGTCCCGGCCCAGCTTGATCTTCACCCGCACCGACTTCACTAAACAAAAACAAGAAGGACGTAAAGTGGATCTTAGCCTGCCTGTTAAAGCATAACTCCGCCCACAAAGGGAAATTAGAAGAATACCAACTAAGTGGGAGGTGCCAGGAGACACTGAGGGGCATGGCATAAAGTGTGTGTGTGTGTGTGTGT